AGTCTCTCCCCTGGTGGGCCAGTCTGTATCGTGCTGGGAGTTACTCCTGGAGGCTCAGGTTGAACCTTGCTGCCTCCTCTCCTCCACTGGTTTCATAAGCATCTATATTCAATCCCTTTCTGCTTAAAGTATCCTGCCTTGGACCCTGATTGATAGGTACAGTTCCCATCTTGACTTAGAGCTTTCTCATTTCCAGTTTGAAAAGGCTCAGGTAAGAGCTCTGATTGGCCAAGCTTGGATAAGATGCCCACCCAACCTCACCAACCATGGCCAAAGGCAACTCCCAAGGTACGTGGATGGAAGTGAGTTGGGGAGGGATGTGCCTAAGAGAAGGGAGGACAATCTCAAGAACAGACACACCATACCCTCAATATCTGAAATTGGAACCAGGAGCCTGGCCTGGAGCCACTCACTCGCTTAGCTCCAGGATCTTCTGCTCGGAACAGTCAACCCTGGGTGACTTAGCTGCCTGTCGCCGTCGGATTTTATGAAGAGTAGACAACAGAAAACACACCTCAAGGGGGCCCTGTTTTCTAGAAACATTTCTTTATTTAAAATTTAAAACCATATTACTTCATACAGCAAACTGTGCACTTTTATATATCACAGTGTCTTAAAAAGGAAAATAATCAGATTTGTTTGGAAATTTATTTACATCAGCCTAGAATGATTGGCAAGTAACACAGTTACTATGAAACCCAAATTGTTACAAAATGTTTACAAAAAACTATATTCATAGAAATTCTGCATGTCCACAAAGGGCATCCCCTGAATGGCCCAGAGACCAGTGTGTGGGAACCATGTTGAGTGGGAATAGGGGGCATCCAGGCACTCTGGTCTGGGTGATGGGACAGGCCAGGGGTCTGGGAGGCCTATGGTGCTGTTTTGGGCTCAGCACAGGCGTGAGAACCGAAGTCCCCATCACGGAGGCCCAGTCAGGGAGGTGGCCCAGGCAGACGAGGGCTGGGGCTTGGAGCACAGTGGCATGAGGACCCCTGGAGCCTGATTCTTGTGCAGCCAGGACAGGATTCCCCTCAGGGGTCAGGATTCAGACTGGGCTCTGGCCAGGGTCTTGGAGGCAGACCCCCGGTTAAAGTGCAGAGCCTGACACAAGGGGCAGAAGCAGAGGCCAGGTTGCTGACCACACGGAAGCCCACTCCCCAGCCCTTCTCCCTGCCTTTGCCATGAAAGGGCAGGACCGCTAGCTACAGGACTGGACTTGCGGAGACAGACTGATCCAGGTGAGGTAGGGACAGTGGTCTGCTGGCTACCAGGGGGTGGGTGGTCTCTGTTAACTGACCTGCTGTGGAAGATGCAGCAGGGGACAGAAGGACTCACAGATGGCACTGGGCTGTGACTAGGATAGGAACAGCCTTCTTGTCTCTCATCATTTGTCCCTCCCCACTGTCCTGCTCACATCTCTGGCTCCTTGGTCCCTCCCTGACAGCTGGTCTCTAGGTCAAATGGTGCTGGGGAGGTTGTCTGAGTGAGGCAAACTCTTGGCTGCCATGATGGAAGTCTACGGTGGCTTTGCTGCATCTGGAGGTCTCGGTTTTGTCCTGTAACACAGACACTAACTGGGGTGATTCAAGGTCCTGTTATAGAAGGCAGGGGGATGAGTCAGGGTCAATAACCAGGGTATTGGGACCCTACAGTAGCATGCTGGCAATGCGCCAGGGTCATTTCTCTTCTGAAAGTGCTTTGTGTGTTTCACCTGGCTGTGAGCTGTGGAAACTCCTTGTGGGTGAGGACTTGCGAAAGAGGCCTTTGCCACTTAGAATGAGAGGCTTCCTCAGCCTTCTGGGGTATTATAGGTGGAACCTGAACCTACCTGGTGACCGCAGGCAGGGATGAGAGCAGGTCTGGGGAACTGGCCTCCCTCCCAGTCTCTCTGCTCCCTATTAACTATCCTGGGACTATAGAGTGTGATATTGGCACAGGTGCCACGTACCAGCATGACATTTCTTCCCAGATACAGGCCAAGCTGTCCTGTCCCAGACAGACCGTCAGATGGAGACCAGGTCCCCTGGCCACCCCAGCCCCTCCCCCTCCCATAGGAGGGTGCTGGATGTTCAGGATCCATCCGCTGGCCCCACATGGTTCAGCCCCTTCTGCAGGGCTTTCCCCACCCCACGGGGCTCTCTGCAGCCCCTGCACCAGGCAGCCCCCTCCCAGACTTGACTGCTGCAGCCCCCCGTCTCTCACTTGGTCCCCACCCATACTGGCTGGGTTATGTACACTCTGTGTGCAGATGTGCGGGGAGGGGTGCATATACACTGTGCATATATATATACAGTATATATATATACAGTATATATATGTATATATATATCTTTTTACATTCATATATATATTATACAGAACATGAACCTTCTACGAAAAACTGGTTTGTGACTTCTCATATGACCTCAGCTCTGAAATTTTAATCCCAGGGCAAATCCAGGATTGAAATGGGGGCTTGATTCAAACTTGCATTGGAGACAGAGGGCAAGCAGCTAGACCCATTCCAAATGTGTCCACCTAACTTAGGACTGTTCTAGATGTGCCTATACAGCTGGGTCCACTCCAGGCACCTGGCTACAGAGTTGGGCTCCTTTCTTACATCTGCCCATAGCGCTGGGCCCATCCCAGATGTTAAGTCCATGAAGCTGTTTGTCCCAACTGCTAGACCCTTTCCAGATGGCCATCCATACAAAGACCATTCCAGATGTGGGCCACAGAGTGCCTATTTCCAGATGTTTGTGCATAGAGCTGGGAATGGCTCAGGGAGGGATCAACTTCATGCTGAGTGATGAAGAAGCAAGCGCAAAACCCCAAACAGCACCCCTTGGAAAAAGGTAGGGAGGGGAGCTTCCAACTCTTCTGGCCGAGTTTGTGCCTGGGTCTGACTGCTGCTCTCCATGAGTTTTAGGAGGGAGAAGCAATTTCTAACCATTTGGAGTCTTCACTGAACACTGCCAGGCCCCTCCCCTCTCCTGGGTCAGAGTTGACATGTTTCAGTGTCCAGGGCATTGGTTGGGGCAGGGGATGTGCTCTTCCGGTTGAGGCAGAGTTGTGACTATGGAGGGGGAGGCCCTCCCACCCCTCAGAGATTCTGAGTCCAGATCATTGGCTAAGGGAAGACATTCACAGAATGGGGCCACCTGAACAATGACAAAAGTCCCCAGGGTTTTCTTATCTGCCCGCAGCAGAGGAGCCAGCAACAGGTCAGGGGGAGAAAGACTGATCGAGGGTTCACTGTTCAAAAGTTCCAGGGCCTGAGGAGGGGGTCTCCTCACTGTTGCTCCTAAATCTGGCCAGTTCAAGCACATTGACAGGAGGCAGTGGCATTTTGGGTGAGAGGTTGGGATGGATGTGAGGATGCTCTTCTGCTCAGGGTACGTGGGACCAGACATGAACCGTCCAGCACCTCCGCAGGCCAAGTCCCGTCGTCTGCTCCATCCAAAGCAGCTGCTTCTATGCGTCCATCACTCCCAGCCACTGCCCTCAGTGTCTCCGTGTGTATGTGTGTGTGCAGGTGCACGCGTGTGCACCTGCCGCAGCTCAGCTCCATGTCCTCAGGCAAGGTAAGCCTTCACTTTAATTCCACATGATCTATTTTGCTGGGAGCACCTTCTCCCCACTGCCCCCACAACCCCATGCACACACCTCACAGATGCAGAGGCACCTTTGGTACCCAGAATGACCTGGGAAGAGACACAGTTCACACTTGGGCAGGGGTCATCTCCACTGCACTTTGAACAAACACAGGACATTGGCCAGAGGTTGGACACTGGCCACCCATACGGATATAAGGCTCGACTGGGAGAGGAGACCAGGCAGTATGTCATCCCACCTCTGTTTAGAAGTCCAAGAATCATTTCAGTTCCTTTTGCGGGGTTTACTTACTGGGGCTGTGCCTCTGATTATCCACCCTTCTTTACTCTTTCTATTAAAAATCTGCTGACCACTGCTATTTCCTTTTCTTCCTCCCAACACAATCTACGTATGTGTATAGCCTCAGAAGAACGTGACACAGTCATCTAGCAGCATGCACAAAAGCACATGCACATACGTGTGTGTAACATGAGCATGGGTGTGAGCACGTGCTATGAAATCATGTTGGATAAAGAAAGACAGTAAGTAGTTAACACCTGGGGTTGATGGGCGCAAATTGGCAAACGCTTTCATTAGAATCTTGTTATCTGGGAATTATTAAAAAAAAAATTGTTTCCCCTTCAAACAGGACCCTTCACCTAGAGCAAAGGTGTCACCAGCCATGATCCCCTGAAGTGTTCTGCCCCCCACTTGGCCAGTCTCCCCGAGCATACACCTGTACAAGTACAATCTTGGCAAATCCTTGGGACAAATGACCTCTCCTATGACAGAAGTGCAACCAGACCCCGATTCCCTGCCTCACTGATTGTCCATCCCCGCTCCCACTGTGTGCATTTGAACACGTGTGTATGAGCACCCTCACCCTCACACTCACAAGGTCCAATCACACACAGCTTCTCACGTGTAACAGGAGCTGACCCACACTGCATGCCTGCCTGGTGCTGTCCTCCATCCCTGCTCTCCGTGGCTCCCACAAGCCCACACGTGCATACGCACATACGCTCACACAGGGACCCCTGGATAACATGGCTTTTCTTCTTACACATATCTGGCTATGCTTCAGGTTTTATCCTGTCCTCCATCCCCTGCCATTCAGTGCACAAATGCACATACACACCAAAACGTGCAAATTCACACATGCACACATACATATGTGTACTTCCCAGAATCCCAATGCGACATAGCTTCTCCTGTTTTTACATGTATGGGGCTCTGCTGTCTGTTCAGATGTGCCTCCTTGGTCTCCAGTTTACACATACACACACATACAAACACACACACACCCCAGACCCCAAAGGATTCTCCTATTATTGCATCCCCTGGCCTATGTTATATGTCCATATCTGGTCTTCACTCCCAGCCCCCAAAGCTTGCACATGTGTGCATGTACATGCACGCACGCACACACACACACACACACACACACAGACATACACCAGAAGCTCAGATAGCACGGCTTTTCCTATCATTACATGCGATGAGCTACGCTGCACATTCAGCCTTCTCCTTCCTCCTCCAAGGTGCACAGCCTGTCAGAGCTGCTGTGGTTCTGGGAACCACCTGGTTTGGTCCTGAATCTCATGAATTGGAGGAGGGACAGTATATATCCCACAAGCCCACTGTGGTCTTCTACTTTGGGAGTTCCTGGGGAGAACTAGAGATTACCCTTCACCCCAGCTGAGAAGGTACCTGAAATCTAAAGGTAGCTCTTCCTTAACCAAGCTTCCCAAGCAGAAAGAGGAGAGGGGTGGGAGGGGAGTGGCTGGGGATCTCTGGTTCCCTGCCCAGAATGTCCAGCCTCCTTCCACTACTCACAACTGACCCTCGGGCCTTGGCCATGGGAAGTCCTGCTGGTCCCATCATGTTCTCTTTAAGGACACTTTGTTCCTAACCCTTCTATGTCTTATTCTTTGTCCAGAATCTTGAAGTCACAAACCTCTAGAGCATCACAGCTCAGTGGAACCACAGACCATCTGGTTCACCGCCCTCACTGGTCCCTCACTTGCTGCTACTACTCTGCTGTCTTCCCCAAACCCCATATGTCACAGCTGCTTTGGACAAGAGATGAGGGGCTAGGAAGACCTTGTGTTTCTGTGTGGGGTCTTTGGTTAATTTCCAGGAGGCAGCTTCTCCTACCCCACCCAGCTATAATATCCTGCCCCTGAAAACTTTCTTTTTCTGGGGATAATCTTTAGGTTTGGCAAGTCCAGGAGGCCAGGAGTTCTTTGGGTCCCCTTTGGCTTTCCCTATCTACCCCAAAGTTGGCCTGTGTAGTAGGGCACTGACCCCTATTTTGAGGAGGGGTGATCTGGCTTCCACTTCAACCTAGACAAGGCTACTCTTCTCTTTCCAAGATGACAGAGGGAGGCCAATGTGAACTGGCCAGGAATGAGAGTTGCTGCTGAGTAGATGGGAAAGAGCCCAAGCTCCCAATTGCCAACAAGGTTTAGAAAGCAGCTTGATAACCAGCAAGGTAAGATCTGCTGGCTTGAGGGCCTGTGGTATTTCCATGGACTCCACTGTTCCTCTGCTGGGCTGAGGCTCTGGGCAGTCACTGTGAGGGACTTAGGGGGCCCTCTCCCCTTTGGCCAGAAAGTGGAGAAGAATTTGATGTTACCACTCCACCATTTATACTCCTAGAGACTTCCTAGAGGAGTGGGAGTAATTGGGACACTGTCCATAAGAATTCAAAATGGTGGCCTCTGTTAGCACCATTTCTCCCCCTCCCATGCCCCAGGTTCTCTCCTCTTTTCCCCTATGTGCTCTCTGCCTTTGACTTTGCCAAGACGGGACTGCCATGGTGGGGGCCAAGTCCACATGACCAGGATCACGTGAGCAGCCCCTGAGGGATGAAATCTTCCTTCTGCCCAGGCATGTGGGTGGCCATCCCTCATCTTCAGCTCCCACTGGCAGCCACACTATAACATCTTTAGGGTGCCCAAGTTTTGTGCCTCTGGTCTCATGGTCAAGTCCTAAGAGGGCTGGGATCATGGAGAAGGAGGGGCAACATGAGAGCTGTCTCCTATTTCCTTTGGCCTCTGCAGGGCCTTGGCAGAAACTTCTGATTGCAGAGGAGAGTTGAAGAGCAGGTGAGTTTGGCCTGAGAGAGGCATGTGCTTCCTTTGGCCTTGGCTTTCTCAGCTGGCAGCTTTAGAAATCCATAGAAGAAATGAGAGGAGAATGAAGCCGAAATGGCTGGACTCAGGCTTCTGGTTTCCTGTTAGGGAGGGCACAGGGGCTCCTGGCCCAACAGGCAAGCAGCAGCTGTGGTCCCCAAGCCCAGCACGGGGACCGGGGACGTTCCTTTCTGGCTCCTTTTCTTTCCTCCACCCTATCCCAGGCCTGAGGTCCCCACCCGGCCTGTGCCTAGGGGAATACAGGGGCCAGTGATGTGCTGCAGGTCATACTGTCCTTGCCCGGAAGCCGGCGATCATTGAATGTGTGCATGTTGATGACGGCGTCAGTCTTGACCATCATGGGAGGCTGTGGCTTGTGCTTGACCCGACGCTGGCAGGTGAGGGAGAAACGGATCTCATCAGCCACGGTGCTGCAGAAGGAACGCTGTGGTGGGGGTGGGGGTGGGGGTGGGAGGGAAAGGGGCACAAGGGTGAGGCCTGGCCCTGCTTCTTCTGCAGCTAACTCCTCCCTTTCTTCGCATCATCTTTCTAATGGGAGCCACCTCATCTTTCTAACATCTTCACCCCATCCATCCCTCCATCCCCTGCAGAATGACTAGTTTGTATAGAAGTCTACAAAAGCACCACGTTCTTGTTTGGAAACTAAGGTAGGTTGGGCAGGTTATTATCATCTTATCCCCATTTTACAGATGAGGAAACTGAGGCTCAGAGGAGAAGGGACATATCCAAGGTCAAGGGGCAGAGCCAGGATGCAAACCTCCGCCCTCTGCTCCCACAGGGCTCTGAGAGTCTTTCTCCCTTCCCCTCCTCACCTACCCCTGCCTCAAGACAGCTTGGGGAGAGGTGGGGAAGGCAACTTGAGGAAGTGACATTTGAGCTGAAACGTGAATGATCAGAAGGCAGTGAGTTGTTTAGCCCCTTGCCACTCAAGGTGTGGTCCAAGGACCAGCTGCATCACCATCACTTGGAAGCTGGTTAGATAGTCAGAACCTCGGGCCCCACCCCAGAACTGCTGAGTCCGAATCTACATTTTAACAAGATCCCCAGCTGATGGGCATGCATGGGAAAGTCCGAGGAGCTGTGGTTTACTTGTCTGAATTTTCGCCATTCGATTCTGATGCCGGAAGCCAGCCTGTTTCATCCCTATGAGCCCAACCCCCAGCATCCCCTGGCCCAGAGTCGGGGCTCATGAAACACCTGATGACCGGCAGGCTCCTAGAAGGGCTTCCAGCTAAGGGGGAAGGAGCCTACCCCGCTCAGGGAAGTCCAGCATACTTTCTCAAGGTGGGTGAATGGGAGGCAGTTTCCTCCAGGGCTTTGGACGGCAGTGGCCTCCTTCTGATTTGAGTCCCTGTAGGTGGCCAAATAGACAGGGGAGGTGCAGGCTTGCCACAGGTACCAGTGGCTTTATGAGACCAACTGGCAGAGGCTGTCCTGAGGCTTCTATGGGGGTGGGGGCAGGAAGGCTGTGGGGAGTTGTCCATGCCTCAACTTACCTAGTGGCACTGTCACCTAGACTGCTAGGTACAAGCCATGTGGTGAAGAAGCATGGGGACCTGGCTTTGAATTCTGGCTCCATCTCCTGCCAGCTGTATGACTTCTCTGAGCCTCCCTTTCTTACCTACTAATTGCAGTATATCATCCTTCCTTTCTTCCCTTCCTTCTCCACAAATATTTATTGGGGCCCTACTATGTGCCAGGCTCTGTTCTAGGTGTTAGAGGCATTGCAGTGAAGAAGACAGGCAGGGTCCTGGCCCTCAGAGAGCTCATGGGCTAATGACAGAATGGAAACATGTGAACAAAGAAACATGTCAGATAGCGATGGCTACCATGAAGAAAATAAAGCAGTGAAATGGGACAGAGAGGAGTTGGGAGTGGGGAAGGGTGAGGAAGGCTACTTGAGGAGGTGACATTTGAGCTGAAACCTGAATGACCAGAAGGCAGCAAGAATATGGTGCTCTGGGGGAAGAGCGTTCTAGGTGAGCAGAACAGCATGTGCAAAGGCCCTGGGGCAGAAATGCACTTGGTGTATTAAGGGCTAGAAAGGAGTCCCGTGTGGGTAGAGCAGAGTAAGGGAGGCAAGGGTAGGAAGGAAGAGTTCAGAGAGGTGGGCAAGGGCCAGATGTGGCAGGGCCTTTTACTTTCAGAGTGGAATTTGGAGCTCATTCCAATTGAAATGGGACTCCCTAGAGAATTTGGTTGTTGTTGCCTTTGATATAGCATAATTTAGTTAGCCACTCCCTACTGTTGGACATTTAGTTTTTCCTCCCTTTTTTCATGTTATAATTAACACTTCAACAAATATCCTTGCAAATAACACTACATCTATCTTTGACACTTCCATAGGGTGCATTTCTAAAGGTACAAATTGATTTGTAAAGTGTATGGACACTTTTAAAGGCTCTGAACATACTGCAGAGTCACCTGTCAGCAACGTACCCATTTAGATTCCCTCAGCAATGCTGGGAAGTGTCCCTTTCCTGACACTCTGGCTGAGTATCAGTGTTCCCCTCCTCTTTGTTGACTTAGGCTTCTGGTTTTAAAGGATCCCATTTCACTCTGATGGATGTATAAGCTGCCCCTTTGTAATGGTCTCCTCGACATGTGGCTTAACTGGAATCTCCTTCCACAGTGGACCTGCATCCCTCTGAACTCTAAGAAAGGGGCTTCCCCCAGCCTAGCAGCCCTCTACATGGTGCGCTGGAGACTCACCCTGTACTCTTTCTTAAACCACCCATGCCAGGCCCCCCCAAGACCAATTAAAATAGAATCTCTGGGAGTGAGGCCAGGGCATTAGCACTTAAAAAATTCTCTCCCTTTGATTCTAATTTGCAGCCAAAGCTCAGAGCCATTGCCCCAACCACACTTGAATTAATCAGATGGGCTGAGCCTAGTTCTACCGCCTGCATGCTTGGGTTGGCTCTCTTAACTCTTTTCTTTTTTAAGCTTTTGATTATGGAAATTTTCAAATATATGCAAAAGTAGAGGGAACAGTATAAGGAATCCCTATGTAACCATCACCCAGCTTCCACAATGACCCTGGAGGGTTTGAGGCAGGGGAATGATGTGGTTTGGCTCATGCTATGAAAAGGGCACGGGCTGCTGTATGGCGAGCGCAGGCAGAGAGGAGCGTGGAGGCAGGAGGGCCAGCTTGGAAACGGCTGTGTGGTCCAGGCTGGGGATGATGGGGGCTTGGTTTAGGCTAGAGAGACAGCAATGGGCAAAGGTGGTCAGAGTTAGTGCACGGTTTAGAGGCAGGGCCGGCAGGACTTCCTGAGGGACCGGCTGTAGGGTGGACTAGTGAGAGGAGGAGATGAGTAACCACGGTGCTGCCAGCACATCGTTGCTGTTGTTGTTAGATGTCGCTGAGTCGATTCCGACTCATGGCGACCCCATGTGTGCAGAGTAGAACTGCTCCATCGGGTTTTCAAGGCTGTGACCTTTGGGAAGCAGATCGCTAGGCCTTACTCCTGAGGAGCCTCTGGGTGGGTTTGAACCTCCAGTCTTTCCATTAGTAGTCCAGTGTGTTACCATTTGTGCCACCTAGGGACTCCTGTGCCTGGTACATAAAACCAAAAAAAGCAAAACCCGTTGCTGTTGAGTCGATTCCGACTCATAGTGACCCTACGGGACAGAGTAGACCTGCCCCGTACGGTTTCCTAGGACTGCCTGCTGGATCGAACTGCTGACCTTTTGGTTAGCAGCTGTAGCTCTCAACCACTGTGCCACCAGGTTTTCCACCTGGCACATAGGAGGCGTGAAACCAGCACAACTCCTCCACCCCCTTCCGTTTCTTTCTCTTTCCTGTGGAGGTCCCAGCTCTCAGGCGTTACCTGCTCTCGCTCTGCTGTTTTGCGGAGCTTGTACACAAACTCGCCCACGGCCACCAGCACAGACAGGACCAGCCCGGCTGCCAGGACGATGAAGATGCCCCCGATCTTCTGGATACCTAGGGCGCTGGCCTCTTTGTTCTCCTCCTCAGGACAGCCGCTGCCCCGCCACCACTTCTCCTTCATGATGTGCAGCTTGTCCTCCTCCTGCAGCTGTAGGATGGCGATGGTGATCTTGTCCCGGTACGGGGAGCCTGAGCAGGGGACAAGACCCTGGTCAGCGCCTGCCACCATCATCACTCCACTCATCACCCCGTGGAAAGGGGGGCCTATCATGGGAAGATACCTCTTTAAATCTATGTATGGTATCTGGGTGGAGAAAGTGTCCTAATTCGGGGTGGGGGCATCTCGCCTATCCCCATAGGTCCCTGGAAGGGCCAATGTAGCTGGGCTGCATCAGTAGGGGTGGGGTGACCTATAGGATTCTGAAAGGCCCCATGTATCTGGGCTTCATCCACAGAAGTGAGGTGAGGAAGGGCAGGATGATTTCTGAGAACGGATCTCCCCCACTTTGTGTTTGTCCCAGTTCCTATCTGCTTAGTCCAGGGATGACCACACAAGGTGGTTGGATCCATCCCTAGGCCTCTGGGCTGAGTAAACGCCAGCTCTAGACTGAATGGAATAAGCAGGGAGAGGGAGCAGGAGACTAGGTATGCATGTGTCCATCCTCTGCTCTCCCCACCCCCACCCTCCCGCCTTGCAGTCCCTGGCTCACCCATGGGCGTGCCAATGCCATAGCCCTTGGAGTCGATGAGGCCCCCGATCTGGGTGAGGTTGCAGTTCCTCTGGGTGACGTACTCGATGGTGGTGGACTCCATGAGCAGTGCGTAGTCAGCTGTCAGGGTCCTCTGGATGCCCTCCTCATTGTTCTTCACCAGCGCCGAGGGCTTGCTGCTCATGAAGGCCCACATCTTCTCGAAGGTGGAGATCTTGGATTTCTGCATCATGTTGGGGGGAGTAATTCACAGACAGTTACTGAGCATACCAGGGACCAAGCACTATACACCCCGCTTAATGGGGCTACGGCCACTGAACTCTGTTCATGGTGCTCAGAGTAGCGAGTGTCACCCAGCCCATTGCTCAGATGTGGAAACTGAGGCTCTGGGAGGACAGGTCCCCAAACACACAGCTTGTAGGTGATAAAGCCGAGACTCAGACTCAGGTCCACCCACCTGGAAACCATTGGCTCTTTGGTATCACAGAAGTGGTTTTCAGACTAGCTTCAAAAAATGAATATTCTTTCTCTCACATTTATTAAACAATTACTATGTACAGGCCTTGTTCTAAGTGCTTTACCCTTTACCTGTATCAGCTCATTGATTCTTCACAGCTATTAGAGGAGGCACGTACTATCATTAGCCCCATTTTACAGATGAGCAAACTGAGGCCTGGCTAAGTAACTTGCCTAAGGTAACCCGGATACTAGAGGGCAAAGCCAGGCTTCAATCCCAGGCTGTCTAGCTTGAGTCCATGCTCTTAAGCATCTGGCTGCACAGTCTCACAGGAACCACTGCTGGGGTGAAGGAGAAGGATACTAATGAGTGTTTGCTCCATGGGTTCTGGGCCCCCCTACTCCTAAATCAACAAGGCATCTCCCTTTCATTTATGCTGTGTTTTACAGGAAGGTTTGTTTGAAGGAAGGGTTTCTGTCTGCTCTTCTTCATGACAGTGAGAGAAGCAGGGTGAGAACTGCAGAAGGTAGAGAAGTGGGGGCAGTTAGAGCAGGTGGTCTGCACACCCCTTATCCCCTTCCCATGGCTGCCCCAGGTCTTGGGGCCAGAGGATCCTGGTCTGGACCCTGCTGCACGGCAGGATCAGCATCCCTATGACCAGGGCTGATGGGTGGGCTGCCCTGCCTGGCCAGGGAGACTCAGAAAGGCAGCTGGGGCTAGGAGAGAGGAGGGTGGGGGCTGAGTGGCCCCTGCTACCCGGGATGGCTGGGCAGGGCAAGGTGCGTGGCACACACGAGTTTTCTTGGGAACCTAGTGCCTGCCAGCTGTCTGCTCCCAGAGGGATTGGCCCTACCGCCACTGATCTCAGGGGAGCAGGTGGCTCTGCAGGCCCCACTGTCCCGGCTGTTTCCAAGTCTGGCTTGCCTGTCTGTGATGTCAGCCTGTCTGACTGTCACCCGGCCCAGCTCCGGTGTGTGTGACAGTATGGGTGCACTCCAACAGGCTGGTGCAGGGCTGGGGGATGGGCAGGGGACAGGGAGGAATCAGCGCCTGCACTGTAGATGGGTGTGGGGGGTGGGGCTGGGGAGAAAGTGTATCTTCTCCTCTGCAGATGCTTTCTAGCTCTGGTAAGGACCGCCACTTCCAAAACTGGTTCCTAGAGACCCAAGCACACCTGAGGGGCGAGGCAACGAGGGCAGGAAGGGGTCCCAAAGCAGCAAGCAGGATCCCCATTTGGAGTTCCAGCTTGGAATCTGCCGAGCACCAGGGATTCCTCCCTGGGGCACAGGACCTGGGCGACCTGGGCACCTTCATGGATGAGCAGCCACTCCCCCTGCCTTGACATTTATCTGTCCGAAAGCCAAAGGCTCAGACTGCTCCCAGCTCCTTCCATCCTCAGTCTGTCTGATGTTCAGTTATTCAGCTATTCTGTTTTCCAGCTACTCCAACTCCACAGTTACTCTCTTACCTCTGCAGTTCTTGCTTCCAAACCTTTGAGGCTCTCCAGATAGTCTATCTGCCCAGTTATTCTTCCACCCCAGTCTCTCTGCTGCTCCAGGTAATCTTCCACTTCCACTGAATCACACCCAGAGGTCCTCTCACCCCAGCTACACCATCCTTCAAAACTGTCCTGATTTCCAGCTCTTCCCAGCCCCAGACATTTCTTATTTTCTAGATAGTTCTGATATGCAGACTCTCCCACCTCCAACTTCTTTTACTCCATTAGTTCCTTTCTTGCTCCACTACTCTTCCTCCTCAGATTCTCTCTGTGGTACACAGCTTCTAAATGGCTCCCAATGACCTCTGTCCCTGGTATTCACACCCTTGGGTAATCCTCTCCTCTCGAGTGTGGGCTGAACCTAGTGATCCGCTTCTAACTTCCCCCAAAAGTGATGGGGTGCCACTTCCAAGATTTGAGTACAAGAGATTATAACTTTCATCTTGCTTGCTCGCCCTGGTGGAAGCCAGCCGCTATGCTGTGAGCTGCCCTATGCAGATGTCTGCACGGCAAGGAACAGAGGAGGGTGGCCCCGGCCAACAGTCAGCCAAGAATTCTAGCCTCAGTTCAACAACCCCAGAGCTTGGAACCAGATCCTTCTCCAACCAAACCTTGAGATCACTGAAGTCCCAGTAACACTGTGACTGCAGCCTGTGAGGGACCCAGGACCGGGGGACTCAGCTAAGCCACACTGCATTCCTGACCCACAGTCACTGTGAGATAATGAACGTTGGTTGTTTTAAGACAATAAGGTTTAGGTAATTTGTTATACAGCAATGGATAACTAATGGGCTGTCTCACTCACATCCTCCCATAAGCTACTTCTGTTCCTGATATAGCTGCTTTCTCAGATAATCATCGATTCCACCCATTCCTATAATCAAATTATCCAAGTCCAATCATCCCTGCTTTGATAGATACACACGCTTCCCAGGTACTTCACCATCTTGGTTATTGCAACCTAAATACTATTCTCTCTTCAGTAATGCCAGCTCCCCAGCTCTTCTCCCACCCCCTTCCCTCCTGCTCTCCAAATTCTCCCTGTTCCACTAGAGGGTGGAGCCAGGGATGGGTAAGGCAATCAGGGATCTCCTTATACTCTCTAAAGAATCCACCCAGTTAAACCTTCAGTTGACTGAATGATTGATTGATTGATCCAGCCATGCTTCTATCCATCCATCCCCTCATCCATCTGTTCATGCTCTTACCTACTCATCCACACACTATCTACACATTAATTTATTCAACTATTCAACTATCCCCCTAACCTCTTACCTATTTATCCATTCATGCATGCATCCATCCACCTATCCACCAACCCATCCATCCATCCACCCACCTACCCATCCATCCATCCTTTTAGCAGTCTATCCATCACCCCACCATGCATCCACCTCTCCCATCTTACTCACTCTCTGTCATCCATCCAATAAATCTCAAGCCCTGAAAAAAGTAACTTGACAATGAGCCACTCAGAGAACCCTGCCCTACGCTTTCTGTGTCAGAATGGGATGAGAACTTCTCCTCTTTCTCCAGTTTCCTCCCTGTATCCCCACCCCCATTCCTCCTGTACACAAGCCTGCCTGACACTAAAACATATGCTCCTTCCAGTAACAACACACCATATATGGAGTCAGAAATTTCAGTTGCGGGTTGGGAGAAGTGTTGGGACAGATGGGCTTTGAGGAAAGACATGTGAAGCCATGAGTAGGTGAAGGAACTTAATGAGGATGATTTGAAAGAAAACCAGAGAGCTTGGGCCAGTCGAAATGGGAAGTGGCAACAAAGAGTGAAGCATCACCTGGCTGTGATGCTGATTCCAAGACGCTCTCTCACCTTCAGTGTTGACGATTCACTACCTCCACCACCTTTACACAGATGGATCTGAAATCTGCTCCCCTTTAATGGCCACCCACTGGTCCTTGTCCTTTATCTTGGGGCCCACATTCTTAACCACATCCATTCATGGTCTCTGGTTCCCCTTAAGTCCTGTCCTTCTGTCCTTATGTGATTCTGTGATTCTGGGGCACATCTCTGAAAATCTTCCCTCTGGCCTGCCTGAGGCAGGGAGGAAAGAAGCCAGACTCCACCTGGATTCTCAGGCCCTTCTCCTATCTCTCTGGGCTTGGTCACGAGAGGCCTGAGTTTCTGTCATTGGTCTGGAGTCTCCACCCCAGCGAACGGAGCCCCACATACCTACGGCTTCAGTGCCATCTTGCCTGTCCCTACTCCTGAGGGAACCTTAATAAGCATTGCTCCAGGGCCAGCCACCCAAATCAATTAATGGGATCATCA